CGGGGAAGGCCATCCTCACGTGGTTTCTGGGCTGCTGTCTTAGTGTTTTGCTGCTGTCTTTGCGTCAAGTGCGGCTCCAGTGTTATTTGAACGGACGGTTTCCTTGGTATTTACACATTCTCTATATCCGTTGAAGCAAACTTCACCGGCTTAGGAGAAGCCTCTAGCACCCTCCTCGGCTCCGCCCATCTAGATAGGTGTCTGAAGGGGCGGGGTGGGCGTGGGGCGGGCTGCGGGAGGAAGGGCGCGCGATTTGATCCTGATGGAGAATTTGACACTGGCTGGGCTTTTGCTGGGAAACGTACGCGTGAACTCGTTTCTCCTTTCCGCATTCAGCACCCACCACCCTGGACCGTTCTCACCGTGAAAGCGCCGGTGAGGAAATGCCCTAAATCATTCTGTTCACGTTGCCCAAGAGGACGACAGACCCTGCAATTAAAGTATGTTTCTTATAATGGCAAGCTTCGGAGTCCTACCGGAACGCTATGTGCGCCAAGCTCCCAAACTCCCCGTATATACACAAAGCCCCAAACCAGCTCCGGGAATCCTCAGTCGCAAACCTAGGCCTGAGGTCCAACTGGCGCTCGAAAGCAGCCGTTTGTGCTTTATGCGTGTGTTCTTCACCCATTCATGCAACAAATCCTCTCTGTGCTTCTTCTGGGTGCTCAGCACTGCCCATTACCTTGGGATTGTAATAGTAAGCAAAGCTCACAATTCCCTGTCCCCGTTCCAGTCATTCCAGTGAGTGTGAATTGGGCTTCGGGAGAGAGAACAGAACGCTGTTTTTTGTTTGTTTGTTTGTTTTCCAGTATCGGGAATTGAACTCAGGACCTTGTGCTTGCCTGGCAGGTGCGGAGACACTGAGCTAAATCCCCAGCCCCAGGACGAAGTAATTTAAAGACAGGATAAAATATGTCACTAAGAAGGGGAAAAACAAGGAAGAGGCATAGGGAAAGAGATTGCAATTTTAAATCTAAAAATAATAGCAAAAAACCACTTCACTTTTTTTTAAAGTATATTCATTTTCTGTGTTTTAGTTCTTCACAGTCTAGAGACAGTTATTTCGGTAAAAAAATAAAATATGTAATCAATTCACATTACTGTAATTTGAAATTATAGAATCACAAATGTGACTGCGTAGCAAGAAAACTTGTAAAATTATTTGGATTTAGGTGAAATGCCTATTCAGTGTAGGTGATGTGTATTTGTTTATACATGTGTTTTTTTTTTCCATTGTTGATGACTAGAATGAATAAGAACTGTTTATCCAGGTCAGTCTCAACTACATAGTGAGAACCTGTCTCAAACAAACAAACGAACAAAAAAACCCAAAGAACTGTTTATAGTAAGAACTGGAAGGGATTTTTTTTTTTTCCTTTTTTGAGACAGGGTCTCACTATGTAGTGCAGGCTAGTCTTCAGCTCTTACTGTGCAGCCCGGCTGGCCTGAATCTTGCAGTGATTCTCCAACATCAACCTCCCAAGAGCATGCATGACCATGCTAATTTAAAAGGCAGCTAAACATCACTTAATCTGATGACGACCTTAGTTTACCTAATACTCTTTCCATGTATTAAAGATTTTCACAGTGTCCCCTTTATTAGCCTAAAGTGAAATTCATAGGTACTATAACTACATTCATGATTTTGTTTTAAATCAAAATAAAGCTCTATTTGTGCCATTTAAAGAAATTTAGAATGTGTCATGGCTTTTATCTAGATGCCCCCTCAAGCCTCAGGCCCTGGTGGATGGAGCTTTTGGAAGGTGTCTGGATTATGGGGATGTGATCCTGGATTAAGGGGGTGTGATGACTGGATTAGGCCTGTCATTGCTTTACCCTGGTTCTGGGTGTGACGGAATAGATTTACTGAAGATAAAAGCCCCACCCTGGGTGTGGGTGGCACCAACCAATAGATTTGTAGCCTGGATGGAATGTAAAGGGACAGAAGGAAGGCAGACTCCTGCCTTCTGGTTGGCACACCAGGAACTCTTTCTCCTCCTTATGCCCCTCTGCCATGCCCCCTTTCATTGGAACCAGCTGACTCTGGGCTGAAACCTCTACAAATTGTGAGCTAAAATAAATCGTTCCTCCTTTAACTTGTGATTATCAGGTGTTTTGTGCTCGTAATGGAAAAGTAACTAAGGCAGAATGAAATTATTTGCATTTCAATATATAAATGCTTAGATATAGCTATTCTACAAAAATAAAATGAATCCATCACTACAAGTAAAATCCCCATGAACGTGAAAGCTACAAATGCCAGCTGACACACACATAGTGTTGGCCAACTCTGGTAGACAACACTGATCTGTTTTCAGTGTATTCTTAAAACATTCTCTGTTATTAAAAACAAGTCTGTTTATATGAAAAATAAATTATATTTTAGGTTCAGAAAATTATATGTCCCCTATCATAGGACACATAAAAGTAATGAGGAACACAATTGTTTGTTTAGTTTTGATTTTTATTTTGGGGAGCATACTGAGGAACCCAGGACCTTCACATGAGCTAACACCACCAGCACTTCATATTTTTATTCTAAGTTCTTACTAAGTCATTGAGTTGTACAAGCTGGGCTTGAACTTTCCAACCTCCTGCCTCAGTCTCCCAAAGTACTGGGATTACAGGTGTGCAGCACTACTAGCCAAAATAGTTTTTCATTGGGAGATCAGACCTGCATTGCAGGAAGCCTAGCATACCTGGTCCCTATACTCTAAAGGTCAGCAGTACTCTACCTCCCAGACTATCCAACACTAGGGGGCAATGCACCCCTGTGTTGAGAACCATTTATTAATGGAGACTGACAGTAAGAAACTGAGACTTTTAGGTACCAACTGATTACTAACAGAGCACTCCTCAGGGCAATGCTCCTTTTAGTGCTTTTTTTTAATCCAATTTCATATATATTTATGATTTAATGTGTACATGCATAATTTCATGGATTTTTTTCCATGTAACAATTCTCACAAATACATGTCAATATATCCGCAGAAAAAATAGGAAAGATCCATATGTATCATATACTTAATGTACAGTTATCTGGGAAGGCTGTGATTTAAAAGGAGTGGAAAAAGAACACAACTTTATCCATTACATTTACACATTAAAAACAAATTACTGCTATCTGGAGAAAGGCAAGAAAAAATTACTGTAATTAAGTTTAGTTAATTCCTTTTGCAGTCATTCAAGGGATGGTTCTGATTGCAATGGCAGTAAAGAAAAATGATAAATTCAGGACATAATTTTTTGAGATTCACATAATAGGACTTAATGATGAACTGGCTGTGAAGGTGTTCTCAGAAAGGATTTCAGATTTTCTGGGTTAATGACCATTAATGGATAACAACTCCTTTCGTAAAAGAGGAATGATGAATCTTGTAGTAGCATCTGTGGAAAATAGGAAGACAACCTCAGCAGAAAAACAGCAAGATTTCAAGGAAATATTGTGTTATGGCTTATATCTAGATGTCCCACCAAAGCCTCATGTACTCATAGGTGGGATTTTGGGGAGTAACTGGATCATGGTGTTGATACTGGACTGTGGATGTGTGATCCTGGGTTAGTCTGCTGATTTGTTTAGCACACTTCAGGGTGTCGTGCATGATTCACTTACTGAAAAAGGAAGATCTATTCTGGGTATGGGTGGCAGCAACCAAAAGGCTTACAGTCTGGAGGGTATAAAAAGGGAAAGGAAAAGGAAAATACTGCTTCCTGCCTGTCCTACCATGGACTGTTTCTCCTCTGCCATGTCCCTCTGCCCTGCTGCTCTGCCTTGGAACCAACTAACTATGGACTGAAACCGCTACAGATTGTGAGCTAAAATAAACCTTTAACTTGTGGGTGTTGGGTATTTTGTCTCAGCAATGAGAAAGTAACTAAGACATATTGTTTGCCCTTTGAGATTGATAAATTTAAAATTTATGGCTGGGCATGGTGGCGCATGCCTGTAATCCCAGCACTCAGGAGGCTGAGGCAGGAGGATCGCTGTGAGTTCGAGACCAGCTTGGGCTACACAGTGAGTTCCAGGTCAGTCTCACTACATAGTGAGACCCTGTCTCAAAAAAAAAAAAAAAATACGGCGAGGCTAGGAGTAGTGGCACATACCTGTAATCCCAACACTCAGGAGACTGAGTCAGGAGGATAGCTAAGAGTTTGAGGCCAGCCTGAATTACATAGTGAGACCCTGCCTCATAAAACAAAAATACAAAACAAAAAAATAATTGTGGTGAGGGCCTGGAGGTGTGGATCACTGTTACCATAAACAAATACATAGAAAAAAATCTTGGTGTTTGTATTTTGCTTAACTTGGTGTTTTTTTTTCTAATAATAATGCATGACATCACCTATAATCCCAGCCCTCAAGAGGCTGAGGCAGGAGGATCTGTGAGTTAAAGGCTAGCCTGAACTACACAGTGAGACACTGTCTCAAAAAAAAACAGACAAACAAACAAAAAAGAAATGTCATGTAGTTGGGACTATCTAAGCTAGAGGAGAATAAAAATAGGAAGAACTATTGGACAACTGATATTATAGGGTCTCATTTTTTCAATCTTTATCTATTATATGGATATTTTAATAAAAATTAAAGTTATATTTTTGAGAGATAATCTTACATGTAAACCTATGACGCAAAAAGAAACAATCTTTTTTACAATCTTATTAATGCCAAATTGACTTCATATTAATAAATACTTGGGCCCGCGGGTTTAGCTCAGTGGTTCTACCACCTGCCTCACAAGCACAAGGGCTGGAGTTCGATCTCCAGTACAAAAAAAATAAATAAATAAATACTAGCTAAGCATTGCAGTACATACCTGTAATCCAAGCTACTTAGGAAGGTAAGGCAAGAGGATAGTAAATTTGAGGCCAGCCTGGGCAATTTAGCAAGACTCTCAAAAAACAGCTGAGGATATAGCTTAGTGGTACGGTGCCTCTGTGTTCAACTGAAAATGAAAGTTAAAAAATAAAATATCATTTTATTCTGGGTTTTTTTTTTTTACAAAAAAAACCCTTACCTTTGAATTTTATTATTATTTATCTTTTCCATTTTAATAGAATGATTATTTGAGTGCTAAATATGGTATATGGTGGTGAGCAAAAGCACTACATAAAGATCTTAGGATATGAAAGAATAGACAACAAATAAAATAATAAACAAGTTACTTAGATGCTGTCAAAGCATTTGGAATGAAGCAGAACAAAATAGGGCAGGGGATTTAGCTTAGTGGTGCCACTGCCTGCCTCAAGCGCAAGGACCTGAGTTCAATCGTTGGTACCACAAAAAGGTTGCTTGTGTAATCCACACTTTAAGGGCCATGGATTTAGCTCAGGGGCACAGCACCTGCCCAGCAAGTGCAAGGTCCTGATTTCAATATATGGTAGCCCCCCTCAAAAAAGAACAAAGCATAGAAGTATTAGGAAGATATTACTTTAGGATGGAAAGCTTTCAAAAGAGATGACAATCTGAGATTTAAAGGATGAGAAAATACTATCCATTTTTAATTGGTCCCTGCCAAGACCTTGGTTCAACAATACTATTAGCATATTTCAGGGCTGGAAGGTTAACCAGTAAAGCTGATGCAACAGCAAAGTGGTAGGAGATAAGGCTAGACAGGGAAGACTCAGACTGTTCAGGGTTTTATGTGAAGTTTGAATTTTACTCCAAGTAGAATAAGAGATGATTGAATAGGAAGTGAAGCTGTGATGTGACTCTGTCTTTTCAAAAAATCACTGTGGCTGCATGTGAACAGTAGATTCAAGATGGGTGGCCAGTGTAGAAGTGGACAGAATTGCTACAAACTAAGATGCCTAGTGGAAGCTCATCCTGGAGATAAAGTGTGCCTTAGACCAAGGCCGGACTGGAACTAGCATGAAGTAAATGAGGGATTTAACTTAGGCAAAGAATCTAATTGAGTATCCCAAAACTCAGTAACTAATGTAAATAATACTGTGGTAAAACATCAAAATTAATGAGAAAATAAA